ATGCCACCACGCGCCAGTCGGCCTGTACACGTATCAACAAACTCGCGTCCCGAGGTAACCCTCGCCTTCCGAGACATATTTTTGGAGTAAATCCTGCTCGTCTTCCGAAAAACTCGCATACAGGGACACTCGCATTCCGAGGTACCACTGTACTTGAACTTGAACTGGAGCGGCCATATTGGGAACTTCCCCATTATGAGTCACACCCATGCTTCTTGCCAGCTAAGGCTCTAAAGTTTAAATAATACTAACCCTGAATTTATTCTATCCAGGAATTACTCTTAACAGTATCGCTCGCTTTGGACACCGATCACGTCCATTTTTTTTTCTCTCGAGTCCTAGCGGTGGACAGGACTTGCGTCCACTACAAAAATATTTGTATAAAATTCATTTTTAATCCGATCAATCTCGGGATAGTTTCAAAATAAGCGCCTTTGGAATGTGCACAATTCTATACCAAAATGAAAGATGTAACACGAAACTTGATGTCAGAACACTTGAAAGATTATTAATACGTTTTTGGGTGTAAATTTTAAATTTTAAAATATTTGTTTAAATTCTATTTATTGTTGCTACTATTATAGGACTAGTTTTAAAATGCACGCCTTTATATTGCGAACAATTTGATACCAAAACGAGCAATGTAACATGAAAATTGATGTCAGAACACTGGAAAGATATAAATAATTTTGATGATGAGCGTCCAAAATTAAAATATTTGTTAAAATTCCAGTTATTGCTCTATTATTATGAGACTAGTTTTAACCCTTTAACTGCGCGGCCTATAAATATGACATCCCCCCAGTGCGCAGGAAATGAAACCTTGGGAAAAAATTATTTTTTCCTCGGAAAGTGTCAAAAACCCCTCCCTGTATATGGGTATAGCAACGCAAGTTCAAAATTGTACTTACTTTGGCTGCTATGGGGTCCGAAAGGTGGGCCGTGACGTCATAATTCCCCGTTTGCCAGAGCAGTATGCACCCGGGGCCGGTGGGGCACCCGGGGCCGGTGGGGCACCTGGGACCGGTGGGGCACCCGGGGCCGGTGGGGCACCTGGGGCCGGTGGGGCACCCGGGGCGGGGCGCGCGAGTTGCCGCGAATATATTTTTGCTAATTTTTTGCGCACAGTTCCAAATACATTTTATTTGATTTTACGTGCTAATCCTATGTATAATGAACACATACACTATATTATGGCAGTAAAACATCCGTACTGTCCAAGGACACTGTGTTACGTGCATGACACTTGTGTACACATATGTTGTACATATTTACCATGTATCATGCTAATTTATGTATATATACAATCTATTTACAGACTGTCACACTGTCAGACTGTCACTGTCACACACTATATACATTCACCATCAACACATTCAGAACACCGGGAGTGTGAGCAGCCACACTCGGCCAGCCCTCCCTCACTCCTCCAACATCTTACTCGCCAACATTGCTCCTCTAAATCATACAGTTATTCTCACCAATGTTTCATGTTCATTTATGTATATTTACAACATATGTACACACTATACACTGTCACACACTATATGCATTCACCATCAACACACTCAGAACACCGCGAGTGTGAGCAGCCACACCCAGCCAGCCCTCCCTCACTCCAACATTTTACTCGCCAACATTGCTCCTCCCACCATACTGTTATTGTATTTATTACACAATTTACACATGTTATATATACCTATCTACATGTTTTATTTACCAGAACTATGCAAGTAAGCCGGTATTGTGTCCAAACAGTATAGTGGCCACCATACATTGCATGACAAATCACACAGCAGGCGACGCCACAATTACGACGTCACCTCCCTCACCAAAATAGCTCCTCACAACATACTCCTGGTGCTGTTATTACACTATTCCACACACTGTATTTACCCATGTACATGTGTGTTCCCCATAGCGAACCACGAAGCTAGTATGGTGAGCATAACAAGAGTTACTGCCACACAGTGAGGCTACCTCAATTCTCTTCCTTCCTCCCTCCCTCACCAAAATTTCTCCTTCCTATGCAGAACGCTCATTATAACCACAATCCTGGTCACTAATACCTGTAGATGAATAATTGACCACAAGTTTATTTTGAAAGGGAACCTAAAAAGTCGTTTGAAGATTCCTAGATGGACGAAATAATGCTGTGGTGCTGTGGCTAGCACTCTGAATATCGTGAACAGCATTGAATCACTGATATTTGAACATTGCACCCAGTCATTATCACACTCCGGCTCTTCTATAATACTATCATGGCTAAATAAAACAGATTATATATATATTTTGACAATATTAGGCAATGCTGTGGTCACACGCTGAACAGCAGTGCTGTGCGCTCATGCTGCGAGCGCCAGCCTTGGTTGCTCACTCACTACTGAGGCTCTGACACCTGGCAATGTGGACCATGATTTTTTTTTAAGATGGCGTCTGTTTACAAGACCCCTGAGGAAGCTGATGTGAACCCCATGTAGCCGCGGGAGTTTTGAATGGAACGTGAAAAATAAAAACACCCGGGGCGCGTTGCGCAACCTAAGCCTGGGCCTGCAGGCGCGTTGCGCAGTTAAAGGGTTAAAATACATGCCTTTATATTGCGAACAATTTGATACCAAAACAAGCAATGTAACACGAAAATTGATGTTATCAAACTGAACGAGTATACACATTAGGTTGTGGTATGCAAATTGGTGCTCATTCACGGGTAACTTTAGGCTTTGCTGCAGGGAGTCTTGCCAGGCTTTTGGACATTATATGCATATACACCTGCAGGGAATTTAACTGCGAACACAATGATACCAAAACGAACGACATAGCACGAGAAATAAGGTGAAAAAACTGAAACGAGTATACACATTTAGGCGTCGCTGCAAGCTCACCTGCACCATTAGCCCCATGACGCCAAAGTCTGCGGTGCTCACATGGCGCGGGCGATAGTGTTAAGTCAGAATAAGCATGATACTTGAAGCATGTTCTGGTCTTGATTCTTTTGGCAGTGATGCCTAGGTCTGTTTATATGTTTGTCTAGTGTTCCATGTGTGTTTATGCAGGGCGCAGGAGCAGCCACAGGGCTGGCCCCAGAAATTGAGACCAGAATAGTCAAAATAAAACCATTGATATTAAATTTGAACTTAAACATTTAACAATTAACTGGGTAGCCTAAATTCAAATTAAATAAAATTTAAATAAACTAACCCCCAAAGTCCAGTATGAAATCAAACAATTGTACAATTTATACAATTCACTTCTCTCGATTAACAACAAATTTAGCACAAGGGCAGCCTTCCCAGAAAGGATGTTCATTGGGTCCAAAACTACCATGGAACCTTCTTCGAACTTTAAAGACTAGCTCTGAATAAGGGAAAGCAGCCATTACAAACCATCTGCACAAAAAGAACCACCATCACAAGGTATTATACTAGAGTTCCACACTGAACCATCAATGAAGTGAACACAAAATGCTGGAGCAAGGAAAACTGGCTGCCAAATGTATAATCCCATCAACCTCTCATAAGCATCTATCATAACAACAATGTAAATCCAACTGATGAAATGCATCCTAGAAATGGTAGCAATGCACAAGTAGAGGGACCACAACAACACCAACCCAGAAGAGAAAAAAGTATTCACAAAGCACAGGACAGGAAATACACATTAGACATACTTCTGAGTGAATAATCAAGTGTGCTTAGACACATTAAAGGCCATGAAGTAAAGCCAATAAAATGCATTACAATAAACACCTGGTACTAAATCCAGCCTGGCAAGCTCGCAGTCACAAGAGAGCATGATCATACAAGTTACTAAAACTACTAACAATGGCACTCCTGTCCGCAGGCCTCACCTGGAGACCAAGTCTCGGAAAACAACCTAAAATAGGGAAGGATTCCAGGAGTCAACCCTACAGAGGAATCGGTTGCATCAGAGACGATGCAACCGATTGTAATTATTTGTAATAGATGATCTTTGCTATACAGCTTGACAGGAAAGATAACCCTGAAACCATAGCAGAAGCAGGCTAAAGAATAATGAGACACAATGTGACAAGCAAATACACTCACTAAAAGTGATAAAAGACATGAGGCAATAGAATAAAGTATGTAGAAAAGATAGTTACTTAGCCAACAAATACAGATTTCATAAAGTGCTGTGTGTTGAGAAGGGCAATCAGTTCAAGTGACAGTTGTGGGATTGTTTGACTCCTGGTTAACAAGCACTGTCATCTGGTGGCGGGACAGAGTAACAGCAAGGAAGTATTTTGACCATTTGGTATCATTTTCTGTTTTGGTCTGGTCCTAGTTAATAACAAAAATTTCTCTAAATGCTTTGAGTTTTTGTGGCCCATTTCAGCCAGTTTGGTGATGTATCCAGTGTGTGGTATTTTATGACTCCCTTAGCTACCCTGCCTCTTTGAGAGGGTCAGGACTCTTGAATGTGCTCCCATTACGTCACATGATTGTAACAGATGCTTGATGTGTTGGATCTGGTCCTGGGCAGCCACTGAGGGGGCTACCACAGAAAATACTGATAGTAAACTTATTCTTTACTAAACACAAAAGTTGTGAAAGTTTCTATTTCAACATTAACAAATTACTTTTTTAACTTGTACCATATTGAGAAGTGTCCATACTACATTAAACTACAGCTTAATAAAATACATTGCAACTTAATACAAATCATAAAATGATACATCAGATCTAGCAACTAGGTAAATAGTTTTAAAAATACTACAGTATACCTTAAACTTTTGTGCAATTATAAGGTACCAAACACTAAAATACCTTGAGAGAAATATGCACATACACAAAAAGAATCACTATGGCTGGTGACATTAAAAGCTTTGTGCACACTTAAAAAATCCACTATTCTAATACACAGGAACAGTACTTTAAAATTGTTGTACTGTATGCCAGTAAAGTAGTTTCAAAGAATAACTAAGCTAGCAGTCCTTAAAAGTTGTGTGCACAGTAAAACAAAGGTTCCCACAGCAAACATACCTTAAAAGCTCTGTGTGCCCTTAAAACTGTCGAGCAGAAAATAAACCGCAGCGTCAACAGTCTTAGAAAGTCGTCACCAAAAAACTGAAGAAAAGATGGATCTGGAAAACATAACAGTATTTACCATAATGAACTAAACAAAAACAAATACAAAAAAATCACCTTGGTCTTTAGCCAACTTCACACAATATTATCTGTTTACACCATCATATATAACAATGTATGTACTATAGAAGAAGCTCGATAATCCGGGTCCCGACGATCCAGAAAATGCCCTAATCCGGCAAAAATCGTGGCCGGATAAAGTTATCTCCCTACCCGGCCAAAATGTCCATAGAAGCCGGACTAGTGGATATTTGGCAGGATCAGCATACACTGATAGAGTTTGAAGGCTAAAAATCTCTCCAAAATCAAGGGTCGACTTCCCGCAGAATATAACTTGTCAATATTTAACACTGCGAGATAAACAAGTGAAATGCCTGGCCTAACACTCATTGTACACCACCACCAGGAAAGGAGGGAGTCAGGAAGGATTCAGGCAAGCTGGGAGAATGGAGTGGGTGTGGGTGTCACAAGTGGGGTATGAGTGTGGTGGGTGGGTGTCAGGAGTGAGTGTAGTAACCACACACACCACCTGTCAGGAGTGGGTGGGTGTGGTGGGTGTCAGGAGTAGGTGTGGTAACAACACCACACCATCCCACCCACCAGGGTGGGGGTGGGGTGAGAGGGTAGGGGTGGGGTGAGGGTGGGAGTGGGGGTGTTGGGTCGGGGGTGTTGGGTGTGGGGAGGAGTGAATTGTGTACAAGAGGTGACAGCCATTAAGCCTAGGAGGGTGGTGAGCCTAGGTCGGGTCTCTCTCTCTGACCCTCTGGGTCTTGCTGCAGTTTTTAATCATTATATATTTTTTCTTTTTGCCATGGAGAGCTAGTTACAAATATTAAAAATTGCACCATAATATTTGAAAAGTAATTGGTTGGCTATTTATTCATTTAAATATTTTCGAGAAAATAAAATGGGGTTTAATACAAGGCACACATTATGGCATCATTGTACATCATACAGAAAGTGGGTGTGTTGTCACCACTTGTGGCAAGGGTTAGGAGGGGGGAGGAGAGAAGAATGGGTACGGAGAGTCACCCACACCCTTCCTGCCTATGTGTAGCCACAGCCTGACTGCTCGCCTTCCCAACCAAATCTGCCTGCCATCCACCCACCCACCCAACTGCTTGCCCACTCACCCAAGCCCATGTATCATTCACCCACCTGCATGCCCTCCCACCAAGCCCATGTGCCATCCACCTACCCACCTGTTTGTCCACCCACCGAGCCCGTGTGCCATCCATCAACCCAATCAACCACTTGCCCACCCACCAAGCCCATGTGCCTGCAATCCACCCAACCACCCACCTGACCTACTTGCTCACACCCACCAAGCCCATGTGCAATCCACCCACCCACCAAGCCCCATGTGCCTGCCATCCACCCAACCACCCACCTGCTTGCCCACTCACCTACCTGTCTGCCTGCCCACCTACCAGCCAGGCAGCTAACCACCCACCCAGAACCATACACTAATTATAGTGTGTGCCAATTAAAATTATGTTGTTTGTGGTACAAATTTTTTTGAAAATGTTCACTTTAGGACTTCCACCGTGAAAAAACCAGCGCTGAATGTAATGAAACACCATTTTCTGGGTGAGACCTGGAGGCTCCTTGGAGCTTACTAGGCTGATAAGGTAATGTAAGACTGGCATCAGTCATGTGTATGGAGTTCTGTGGGCCTACCGGAGACCACGAGCCAGAACCTGGCCCCCTCAGAGAGGCATGGGAGCAATGGCCTATAGACACCCCCGTGTGGTTGGTAGCATTCTATGTCTGCCATCGACCAGGTCAGGCACCCAGAAAGGTAAGCATCCCAAAACAAAACCCTATTCTGGTGAAAATATTGCTACCAAAAGCCGAACAAGTGGATAGAACTCCCCTAAAAGAAATGAGCAAACGAGCATGACGTCACACGTCTATGCGCCACTGTCTGCACATCTCCCCCTTCCACGGGAGGGGGAAGGGGAAGCACAAGACCCCCCACGCCGGCTATCCACCCATCAGTTCTGAGGCTGGATGTCAAACCACACAAAAAACAGCCAACTGGAGGGAGGGAGGGATGCCGGGGAGCCTCCAGGTCTCACCCAGAAAATGGCGTTTCATTACATTCAACGCCGGTTTTCTGGGGGAAGTCCCTTTGGCTCCCTGGAGCTAACTACCCACAGAGGAAAACATAGGGACTTACCCAGGAGGCAGTCATTGCTCACTCCTCAACTCGAAGTCGAGACAACTGGCTGCAGCCGCCGACCCAAAGCGACACATGCCCGACGAGGCCCAGGGACGTTCCCTAGGTAACGAGCAGCCAGGACCCTGTTCAACCGCTAAACGCCCCGTGCCCGAATGTCAGCCAAGGACATGTTGCCAAAGACGGCAACAAGAGCAGCGAACTTACGAACATCATGGGCACGGGGATTGACCGCAGGCTGGCTAGCCTTAATAACTCTGCGGATGACCTGGGAGACCCACCACCGCGAACAGGGAAGAAGGGAAACTGGATCAACCCAAAGTGCATCCACGGACACAGAAGCCGTGGCGCGTAATTAACGGTGAAGAGCCGCAACCGGACACAAAACATGATGCACTCCGGCCCGACCAACCAAGCATCAATAACCCAGGGACCCCTCCGGAAAGCAGCAGTCTCATTCTTCGCCAGAAAAGGAGACGGCTGCAAACGGACACAACCATCTCAAAGACCGAAGGAGCAGAAACCTCTGTGCCGGAGGAGAGCATGAAGCTCCCCAACCCGACCCCCCAGAGGCCAATTCCAACAGAAAAAGAGCCTTGGAGAAACAATCCTGAACCAAAGGGGCCACAATAAACCGAGGAGAAGAAGAAGAAAAGAGAGCACTCAGTCCAAAGACCATGACGGCTCAGGCGGTGCATGAGCAGGCTGGAGGTGAAACAATGCACAAGACAGCTTGCGAAACAGCGCAAAAGTAACACGAATACCGAAGACAAACTGAAGCGGCTCCGCCAGCGCTGCACAATATGAGGCGACAGTGTTAGGCATAAGGTAATGGTCCAGGAACAACCAAGAGAGAAAGAACACCACCACCCAAACAGAAAGTGACACACAACGACGAAGACGTAAAAAGAACCGGAAGGACCGCCAGGAGACTTCATACTGCTGCTGAGATGAAGCCTGCAGGTGGGACACCAACAAAGAAGCCATCTCATCACCACAGATATGCTGATAAACCCGAGTCAAAAAGACCATACGCGAAGACTCGAGGAGAAGATCGAACTAGCCACGTGACGCACCGGGCCGATCTGTTGGAAGAGGCGGAGTCGCGGGAAAACCTCCGGGTTCAGACACCAGGCAAGCAGCGCCTGAAACCATGGCTGCTATGATGCTATGAAACCATCATAGGGCCAAGAGAACTACTCTCCCCGGGTAGGGCTCCAAGCCAGTCAGGACCCAGAGCAACAGCTGAACCGGGGGAAAAAAAGAGATACAGGAACCCCCCACTTCGACCAGTCCTGCCGAAAGGCATCGACCCTGATGGCCTCGCAATCGGGGAAGGGCGTCACATACTGGGGTAGGTGCCGCGACCACGCCAACGAGAAAAGATCCACCTCGAGGCGTCCGAACGTCCGACAGAGCCAACGGAAGGAGTGGGCGTCGACCGTCCATTCCGTGGAGAGGAGAACGAAACGAGACAGGCCGTCAGCCAAGACGTTGGACTCTCTCCGCACGTAACGAGCCAGGAGAGCTAAACCCCGAGAACCACACTACCACAAACTACTGCACCGTGCTGTGGACTCGATGGAAAGATGGACCCCATCGCCCCTGGCCGGCATGGTGAGCACTGGTCACAATGCCTCAGCCGAGAGACGAAGCATCCGTGAACACATCGAGCGAGGGCTCGGGCAGGCACCAAGGCACTGAACCCCGAAAAACCCGAAGAGGAAGCCGGTGATGCAGCAGCCGACGCAAAGCCCTCGGGGGTCGAACACAGCAATCGCGAGAAAGGCGGAAGGGACGTCCCCGAAGAAACTAGAACAGCCGACGACGAAGCCAAACCCAACCTGGCGGGTATACCATCATCATGAAGTTCAGGCTTCCACACAAACCCTAGAGCAACCGCCGAGAGACCCGGGAGCCCCCCTCCTGCACATGGAGCTGCAGAAAGCTGACATCCCGTGGAAGGGCAGGAGCATCCCGTGGAAGAGCAAGCAAGCACTCATCGAGATGCTCAAGGTACCCCCCCAGGAAAACCTGAACCACCGTCGAGACCTCGCGCCACTTAAGCAGGTGGGAACGACTGAAAGAATGCCAAGCCTCCAAAGCAAAAACAGGACAGTCCTACTCCGAAACCTTGTGATGGACTCAGAAAGAGAACAAATTTCCAAACCTGAAAGACAATGGATCCATCACCGAGGCGTAACCCGGGTCACGCAGGAGGTAAGACATCAGGGCTGCCCGCACCGCAGACGGTTGGATGCGGGAAGTCGAAAACCTTCGGAAAGACAGAACCGACACACCCGAGGGAACATGCAACCGAACCTGGGGAGGGGCAGACACCAAATCCAACTCGTACGCAGAGGGGGGAAAAAAAGAGAACCCCACTCCTTGAAACAATAAGCCTCGCTCCTTGGGACCCTGGGCCGAGTCATCCCCCAGAACACCGGCCCCGAAAGAAAAAGCCTGCGCAGCCAAGAAAACCGAACAGAAGGGGGCCCACTGGTCAGACCCAGAGACTTCAACAGGGAGAGTGGACTCGAATGCCTCCATTTGCAACACCGGAAGGGACATTCCCCGAGACCACCCGAGACTCAAGACCATCTAAACCCCGCCGACTCCAAAACCCTGACACTTCGGGGCCAGAAGCAGGAGGGGTGGGGGACCAGGATGCACCACAGCAGGGGAAGGACGAGGGGGTGCGGACTGAACCAAGGTTGAAGTGACACCCACCCCCAAGTCCGGGTCCCTATAAGCAAAACGGGGCAGCCTCAGGGCATCCAGGTGAGCAACCAACCTATTGCATTGCAACAACCT